TAGGATCCCCATCAACATCTTGAAACTCAGACCAAAAAAAATTTGCTTTGCAAAACTGGACCGACTCTCTCTGCTAGAACACTCAATCACGGTACAATCAGACAATGCCTTTAGCTTTGCTTTCCCATATCAAAACCTTTATTTTAGGTGTACCTCACATCAAGTCCCCCTTGCAAGCACCCCATACCTCATTGGGATCTCAACTTTGTTCTCTCTGTCCTTCAGTAACTGTCCATGTGGGATGTCACCTTAGATGATATTACCTGCAAAGTGGCCTTTTTAGGTCACATTTTTCAGACATGTATCTGAGTTGGCGCTCTCTCTTGCAAAGAGCCATTCCACATTCTTCACAGTGGCAAGGTAGCGCTAGCCTTTCTTCGTAGGGTGGTATCAGTTTTCCACCTAAATGAAGACATTGTTCTTCCATTGTTATGCCCTGCTCCAGAGCACCCAAAGGAGATTTCTCTTCCTTGCCTTGATATAGTCAGAACCAAAGGTGTCTACATTGAAGCAATAGCTTCGATCAGGAAGACAGATTCCCAGTGTGTCCTGACCTCTGGACCTCACAAAAGACACCCTGCTTCCAAATCCACCATTATGGATAAGATAATTATGGATAAGAAATCTGTGATCACTAGAGTTTACACACTCAGGGTCAATTCTCATCCTGTGTTTTTACACCCCAACTCCACCAGGTCGTTGCATGTTTCCTGGGCATTTTGGCACCAAGCTTAGGTGGTCCAGCTTTGTAAGGCTGCCATCTGGTCCGGGTCCTCTGTTCATTCCTTTTCAAAGTTTTAAAAGGTGGAGTCCAATCTTCTGCGAATGCAAGGTTCTTGCAGTGGGACTTTGATATTGGGTCTGTTGACCCTTGCTGTTGCCTGTTGGGACAGTTCTGTTGCCATGTTGTTGCCCATCCTTCACAGTTATAGCTTGGGAACATCTCAGGGTTTATGAATACTCAGTCTGCATCCTGTACAGTTCAGTTAAGAAAAGAGAAATGTTGACTTTCTAGTAAATTCAATATCTTGGAGTACAGTACAGAAAACTGGCCACCCTCCCCTCCATTCCTTGGTTACTTTGCATAGCTTGCTACAAAACTGAAGACACATGGAGTGGGGTAGGGGTTAAAGGGGGGGCATCCAGGGGTCGTGTTGTCTAAAGCTTTGCCAGTGTCCAGTCACCTGAAGGTACAAGCCTATAAACAAGGGTCTATTAATACTTTGCATGTGCCTTGTACTGTATTCAAAGATATGGAATTTACAGGTAAGTCATAGTTCGTCTTTTTAAAGATATTGATTTGGCCTAGCAGGTTTAGGGGCAATTTGGACCAGCTCTGTAGACAACTTTTGAGTCTCAGGATAAGTGGATAAAGATTGCTAGTAATGTAATTTTGTAGCAGTCTTTGTATCAACATACCTAAGTACCCAAATTTATCCACAGTGTTCAGTGAGCAGGAGTTAGAGAAACAAGGGATAAATTCCTGATCAAGTGGAAATATAGTGGATGTTTCCAAGTTCACTCAAAACCCTGAAAAATTTTCAGTTTCTCATATCAACAACAGTCTGTCCAAGGAATGTCTGGGGATGTGACAGGTACATTAGCACTTTCTGTTCCAGACCATTGATAGTCAATTCTTGCACCCTTGTGTCTGACCAAATAAGCTCAGCAAGCAGTTTGATGGCCACTACAAACAAAAGTGGGGACAGATAGCCATCTAGAAAGTTCAATAACTCTCTCACTAAAAGTCCTTATAGATATTTAGATCAATTACAAGCCCTTCAAGGAATCACTTCAAAGGAAGGAATTTTTCTCAGCTGATCCTAAATCCTTCCCTTCATGACTATTTAGATAAGATGTCAACTCACCAGAGGTAGTGACTGTCTTACTCAAAAAATGCAACAGCAATTTAAATATAAAAAAGCTGCTGGTACTTACATAAATTACTGCCACTCAGATAACCAGTGTTGAGGTACGACCTCTCGGTCTCTTGACAGAGAGCGAGAGGTCGTGCCGCCAGACTGGTTAGTCGAGTGGTGGTGTTTGATGTAAGTGCCAGCAGCTTTTATAGATTTATGCGTTTTTTTAAACTGTACATTTTTAACATTTTGTTGTTACTTGAAGAGTTAAATGAATGCTACATTAAATGGCGGCTTTGTTTTTATTGCCTTATGGTGATGTTTGAGCACAAGCGCATGAAGGGAAAGATTTTGGATCACCTGAGGAAAATTTCCTTCCTATGAAGTGATTCTTTAAAGGGACTTGTAATTGATCTGAATATCTATAAAGACTTTGATATGTTTAGTGAGAAAGTTATTGAACTCTCTATTGTTGTCTATGTCATTTGGGTTTGTTTTGTTTTTTTTTGCAGCACTGCATTTATTATTTATGTTAGTACTATAAAACTCCTGTACAATAATAATAGTAATTGAAGTGGAGTGAGCGACCAAAAATTAATCTAGTTTGATCGGATTTGATATTTCAAAATATTACTTTATTTAATCTTGGTGCCAATACCTTCTCTAATATTTTTTATAAATACTGGTTGTTAAGTATAAATATAAGGTGCAGCGCTATACCTAAGTGCACTAAATAAATAAATATAAAGTGCAAAATAACTTTTCAAAGTGCTCTAAATATTACCACAAGGTACTATACTTTATGTGCAAAAATACTGTGCAACCCGTGTATTACAAAAGAATACAAATAAAGTGCAATTAGTGACAAACCAAATCACTGCAACATTTGTTATACATATTAATGAATCCAAATAAATAGTTTTTTATAAAATAAATAAATAAAAAAGTGTCCAAATGCAACAAAAACACTTTTCAATCTTCATGCATGTGTCACACGTGTCCACACTGTGTGAATCCAAACTTTTGATTATCACGAAAATAAATAAATAAAAAAGTGTCCAAATGCAACACAAAAAACACACATTTTCAATCTTCATGCATGTGTCACACGTGTCCACACTGTGTGAATCCAAACTTTAGCCGTGATGGCCCCTCACCTCCTTTTCACGACCCCACAGGGTCAGCTCGCTTAAAACAGGATACCACTTTTTAGTAGCTCACCAGGACCTCACCCGCCTCTTATACTCTCTCAGCAGTCTCCTCCACGATTCATATACAGACACAAAAGAGACTCACATAGGTGAGGGGCCATCACGGTGTAATCCTGTTTTAATTTGTGTTCCCTGCATGAAGATTGAAAAGTGTTTTTGTTGCATTTGGACACTTTTTTATTTATTTATTTTATAAAAACTATTTATTTGGATTCATTAATATGTATAAACAAATGTTGCAGTGATTTGGTTTGTCACTAATTGCACTTTATTTGTATTCTTTTGTAATACACGGGTTGCACAGTATTTTTGCACATAAAGTATAGTACCTTGTGTAATATTTAGAGCACTTTGAAAAGTTATTTTGCACTTTATATTTATTTATTTAGTGCACTTAGGTATAGCGCGCTGCACCTTATATTTATATGTATTCACTCATGTTGGTAAGGAGTATTGTGTCAGCAGCTTGGTGAATAGGGCCCCATTTCTAGCACAGGAAGTTCTTGCATTCTGGTTGTTAAGTAGTTGCTGAGCAGGGGCGGACTGACCATTTGGAAATTTTGGCACTGCCCAAGGGCCCAGGGTCAGTAGGGGGCCCCATGAGATGCCCCTGGTACCTTTTTCATAGGCTTTTTGGAGTTTGGGCAAGGACACAGGGGTCCCATGATCCCCTATTGCCCAGGGGCCCGATGAGTTGTCAGTCCGCCCCTGTTGCTGAGTATTTTATTTATCTGTAATGGAAGCATTTCTTGTTTTAAAATTGATTGTGCTAGTATGCTTGTCTGTGATACTCTCACTTGTGGCACAGTAATTAAAAGTATATTTTGAGGGTACAATCCTAGCCATGCCCCTGCTGGAACAACTGAAAACAATACACTCAATGGGGGAGATTTACTAAAACGTGTGCATTCAGAATCTGGTGCAGCTGTGCATGGTAACCAATCAGCTTCTAACGTCAGCTTGTTCAATTAAGCTTTGGTAATAAAACCTGGAAGCTGATTGGTTTCTATGTAAAGCTGCACTAGATTTTGCACTTTCTAGTTTTAGTAAATAACCCCACTGTGTAGCTGATATCAGATCCATTCTGTCTTTTAACTGATTGATTGGTTACCGATGTAAAGCTCTGAAGCAGCGAGACATATTAATTAAATCACGTCTTTATTGCCTCACAGCAAGCAATCAGATTCAAACTTCTCCTGTTTTAATTTTTCCAGTGCATTCCACTTGGAATATTATAGATGGTGGTGAGGTAACAAATGCCAATACATAACTTCTATTTTCTGTTCTTCTCTTTTCACAGGAGCCTAGACCCTCTTTATTTTACGTACGGTATATTATTTGCCTGCGGCTGCTCATTTGCTTACCAACCATCTCTTGTTATCTTGGGACATTACTTTAAGAAACGTCTAGGACTGGTCAATGGCATTGTAACCGCAGGCAGCAGCCTGTTTACTGTATCGTTGCCCTTTTTGCTGCGCTTTTTACTTGATGGTATTGGACTTGAGCACACCCTACGCGTCTTGTGTATTCTCATGTTTGTTTCTCTTTTTGGCTGGATTCACCTACAAACCTCTTATACCTAGACAGAGAAATAGACATTCAAAGTTCTTCAATTTCTCCATCTTTAAATCAAAGAGCTATTGCATATGGGCATTTGGAATTCCAGCTGCACTTTTCGGCTACTTTGTGCCTTACGTCCACTTGGTAAGCTGTCAATTTTTAATTTATACTTAGAACATTCTTATATGTATGCTATGTTTATTTCCCATCACCTACCATATTTTTCGCTCCATAAGACTCTCCTGACCATAAGACGCACCTAGGTTTTAGAGGAGGAAAACAAGAAAAAAAATATTCTGAACCAATAGACTGCAGACATAGTACAGGAAATATCCAGAGACTGCGGATGTACTACAGGAGATGACCAGAAACTGCAGACATAGTACAGGAGATGACCAGAGACTGCAGATGTACTACAGGAGATAACCAGAGACTGCGGACATAGTACAGGAGATGACCAGAGACTGCGGATGTACTACAGGAGGTGACCAGAGATTGCGGATGTACTACAGGAGATGACCAGAGACTGCGGATGTACTACAGGAGATGACCAGAGACTGCGGATGTACTACAAGAGAAAACCAGAGCCTGCAGATGTACTATAGGAGATGACCAGAGACTGCGAACATAGTACAGGAGATGACCAGAGACTGCAGACATACTACAGGAGATGAGCAGAGACTGCGGACATAGTAAAGGAGATGACTAGAAACTGCGGACATAGTCCAGGAGATGACCAGAGACTTGCGGACCTTTGGGACCATTTGACAGGTACCCGCTCCCACTTCCACTGCGATCGCCTAGGCGATCAGAAGCAGAAATTGTCCTCTCCATTCACAAAGCACAGCGCTTCTCACGCATGTGCAGTGGGCACCCAGTTGTGAAACCGCAAGCTGTCACAGCCGGGTGCCCACACTGAAGATGCCGGGAGAGAAGATGGCCGGTGAAACCAGCGGTGATGAGGACACCGCTGGACCAAGGAACAGGTAGGATCGAGGAGCAGGTTATGCTGCACAGAAGAGCAGAACGGCCTGCCCTATGTTCTAACATGGGGGCAATACCGGGCCAGGGTTGATTTACTAAAGCCAAATAGACTATGAACTTTGCAAGGGCATTTGCTCCAGAGCAATTTGAAACTTTGCAATTAGAAAAAAAAAAAAAGCACAATTGGATGATGGAAGTCAGCAGAGCTACCCCTCATTTTCTAAGCTCTGAAGCAAATGCGCTTGTAGAGTGCAACTGCTTGCAAAGGGCAAGGTCTATTTGCATTTAGTAGATCAACCCCACTGTCTAGTGTCTTTTTTTTTGTTTTGGTTTGGTTTGTTTTTGTTTTTGTTTTTGTTTTGGTTTCTGGACTGTAAATGTCATGTGTAATCTATCAATTTGCAGGTCAATTAATCCTCAGAACAAAGGCAGTACAAACAGGGATACAAATATATATTTAAAAATGATATTCTTGCAGTGCAGGAAAGAGGACAATAACTCTGAAATCAAAATTGCAGCAGCTGAACTGAATTAGGCAAATCCTCAACAAGTCCAGTAACAAAGAAAGTAAATAAAATATAATCAGCACATAAATCCATAAAAGTCATTAAGTATCCAAAAAGCATAATTTATAAACCCACTCCTATTATAATAATGCTTGCAATGGATGTCAAAAAACACTATTAACCATACACAGTAGCTATCTTAGAAAGTAGTGGCCATAAAAGTACTTCTAGGCCCTCCTCTCTAGAGTCTGTCTTTTACACTCCTGCAGCTGCTGTACCTGTGACATAGTCAACCATAGATGAGGAGGGGTCTCACTGTTTCTTTTTGGATGAATTTGTGCCTGAGGAGACTCAGTCTGCTGACATAACTGTGCTTAAAGATACAATTTTGTTTTTTATTGACATGGTATGTACATGTTTAAAGCTGGAGCAACTTGTGTCGAAACCACCACATTTACCAATTACAGGTCAGGGAGTCCTAAATCTTTCAGGTACATTCATTACTGAAAACTATTTCATACAGCAATTGGATTACTTTTGACAAAAGTGGGGCATTCTCATTGGGGACCCAGCCACTTCCTGCCTAAACAAAACTCCGACTATTCCTGTTGAGAACATTCCAGTTTTTTAAAGACCAAGTTGACCAAGAGTCTGTAAACTCTTTGCTTGATCTTTTTTTTCTTAACAGGTTCTTCCCTGCAACCTGGCAATTTGTCAGACCCTGAGAGTAAGATCTAAGGGAATATCTAAAGAACCTGATACCATCCTTACTGATCATTAATTTTATGAATATTTGCCAGAGTGGGTCTTCCTCTGTAAATATGTAGAGCACTCTGGCTAAAATACTGGTCTGTGCAACAATGCAAAAAAAAAAAAAAGTGTTAGCTCCACATGACTTTTAATTTAGAAAATTTTCTGTGGGTCCCTTGAGAAGTTTATTGAAAAGGTCAGTGGAGGCAAGAGTACTTTCTTAGCACAACAAAAGAAACCTACGCCTCAAGGTGGTATGACTCATTCTATCTATGAAGGCTAAACAGTTTCTTTCATTTCTCCAGGCCACTAAGTTTAGGCCAAAATCTGGGACCCTAAGACATAAATTCTGGGCTCCTAAGTCCTCTTCCACTATTTGAAGAATGAAGATGTCTATTAGCCTTTGCATTCACCTGTATTGACAGCAATTCCAATCCATGAGTAAAGATCTGGTGTCCCTGTACTGATAAAAACAAAATATGTGGTGTCCAGGGGCTACAAGCTGTGTTTTATTCTTTGTCTCCACCCCCCTTCCTGTTGTGAAACATGGCAACCTCTCTGCAAAGACTAACAAATCTCCATACTGCTTTGGTAGACCTCCTAGATCAAAGAGTCATTGCCATTGGTTCTTCAAGTGGAAGATTTAGCTCTGATACTAGCCCTGTTATGCTCACAGGGCATTCCCATAGCGGGATGGTTTGATGATCTTCTACTTAAAGAACAGTCAGCCAAGATCTTGTTTGACAATGTTATCAATGGAACTTATTAATTGCGTTAAATATCTGGATCTGATACTGAATACACCTCAATCCAGAGTTTTACTTCCACAAGTGAGACTCTTTAAGTGTTACTAAACCTATAACCCTGCATTCCTTATATCTGGTCTCTCACAGTACACACAACATGCAATTATTTTAGTACATTTAAATGGCAACTCCAATCCGCGAACTGTCCAACTCTTTACGTTTGCATGAGAGTTCTGGGTCTAAAGGTAGCTTATTCAAGGCAATTCCATTTGCCCAGTTCCACTCCAGATTGTTACAACTCAAAATTCTGGTTGAGTGGGACAAGAAGGCACAGTCATCGGACCTACTGATGAACCTGACACACAGGACCAGGATGTCTCTGGCTGGGTGACTTGCCCACCCAGCCCTGGAATTGGCAAATCTTTTCTTCCTTTATCCTTGGAAGATTCTCATGATTTATTCCAGCCTCTTGACAGGCTGGAGAGAGAACCTGATGGAACAGGGAGCTGGGTTACGAGCAGAAGCTCCTCTTCCTATCAACATACTAGAGTTTCAAGTAATCCCTATCTATTCCTTTAATGTTCCACCCCTTGACTGCTTGAATATCTGATACAGATGCAGTCAGACACAGCAGTGGTGCACAATAACCGTTAGGATAGAACCAGAAGTCTAACGTTGAAAAGAAAAGTGAAACAGATTCTGTCTTGGTTTAACAACAAACAGCACTGGTTTGTCTCCAGGTGCAGGCATCCACTGTGGAAACAGGGCAGTGAAGATCCTGCTCCTCCACCATTCACAGAACGTAATATGAGTTTTGTGAATGGTAGACTGGGCTGAAGGGGATAGCTAATCGATGCAACTTTTTTAAACTATTAAACACCAACTGTTAAGTTTCACGGCGCTAGATGACAGCTACTCACGGCACTATATGGTGGCTATGAAGAAGTCACTGAACAGTCGACTAACAAGAAGCAGCAGCCTGTAGGTGGTGGGATGCACATCATTACACATAACTAATGTGATTGGTGCTGTATCCTTCCCCCCCAAACAAAAATACACTTCAGCTTTAAAACTGCACTCTGAATTAAATAAAGGCTGTGCTTGCCGTTGAGCTCCCTGCACTGCATGGGTTAAATGCTTGTTTAATCTAGGGATGCAGGGATAAGGTGTATTACTTATCCTATCCCCTGGTCCAGCAGCCTCTAGTTGAGAACATTGGCATCATCTCATACAGTGAAGGGCACTTACCTTTGCATTGTGTGCGCATTTACACCATTACATTATATTCTAAAACATCACACAAATCTGTTATGGTGTACTCTCGTGCTCAGGCAACCCATCCTTTAAGGAGTACTACTTACCTTGTTTCATAAACTGGTAGGATCCAGCAGTATCCTCTCCAAGGCACTGGAGCATGCAGTTGGATTCTTACCTCTTCATATACAGTGCAGGACTAAAAGTCCTAATTTATATATGATGTTGAGGGGCCACCTGGAAAAGAGGAGAATAAGGCAGGCAATACAACTTCTTCTTCTACCGCTATAAATAATGAGCTTTTAACCCTTGCAGTGCAGGGAGCCCAACTGCTAGGGTTTTTTTTCCTTCCCAGTGTTGGACTTTAAGCAAGAGTTGTCCAGCACCCTTGCTTAGCCCTATCAATACATAGACACTTCTTCAGCAAGTATGTGCTTCCTCGTGCAGCCAGGGTGGTAAAAATCTAGTGTCAAGCTACCTGCGCCTGTGCACCAGCATCCCATCAACTTGAATGGGAGGCTGCTTCTGGAACTTGGGTATGTCCCATTCACGTTTATTTTTAATTTAATTTCTATTTTGTTTTTTTATTTTTTTTTATTTATGAATGCATATGGAAAAAATATTATCTTCTTATGGAATGTCGATTTGTAATTTTTACAAGTTCTTCTCTTTTTTAAACAGATGAAACACGTGAAAGAGCGTCTGGGACCAGACGTCAACGAGGAGGTTCTTTTACTGTGCATTGGAGTGACCTCTGGTGTTGGAAGGCTGGTTTTTGGCAGAGTTGCAGATTACATTCCAGGAGTCAAAAAAGTGTACTTACAGGTATTGTGATTTAGTAATGCTTTTTTTATGTGAATTAGAAGTAAAACACAAACAACCTCCTTAGTTACTACTACATTATCAAAAATTCAAACAAATCATAAACAGGAGAAGGTTGTATGCCAGCTTCAAAATTATAATCTATATTGTTCACAAAAGGAGTACATGTGATAAAATGTTTTAAACAGTTAATAAAAAACATCTCTCACCACCACCTCCTATACAAATTTGGTTTGGTTGTGAAATTATCCAAGGTCCAGGTTCAGCAGGTAGCACTAGCCCATTAATTACTGTATATTCAAATTTAGTGTATTCCAGCAGGTTAATATTCCAATGGACCAACATAATTATAAAAGCCCATAATAAAAATTATTAAAGCCCCAAATTTGTTCTCTCAACAATGAATGCTCAATCTAATATACTGTATATTACTGTATGTGTCGTTGATTCAATATGAGTCTCAAACAGGACTCTGGAGGAGACTGATCCTCATAAAGATAGCATTGCATATTGTGTATGGCTATATAATGAATAAGCATTAATAAACCAATGTTCACAGATCTAAAGTAAATGTCAAAAACATGAGCAATAGGGCAGTTTTAAAAAGCAGCTACTCTTTTGAGCAGTATCCAGCAAAGATGCCCAGAAGGTTAGAGATAGGGATATTATCGAGAGCACTTTCACCGACAGGTTCTCTTTGAATGATTTAAATTATTATGAATATTATTTATTATTTATTATACAGTATTTATAAAGCGCCAACAGTTTTCGCTCAGCGCTTTACATTACAAAGAGAGACAGAACATGCAACAGTACGAAAAAACAATACAATGTGATACACGATGGGTTCGAGGGCCCTGCTCTTTCGAGCTACAATCGAGCTTACAATCTTAAATAGTCGCATGTGGCAGCTGCGACTAGAAAGTAGGCTGCCAGAAGTATGGTGCAAAACACAGTTTATGGTAATCTGAAAATACTTCACCATTAGAAAACTTTTCTAGCTGCATACATTTTCTGAATTATACAAAGTCTTTCATCCAGCAAATCTGCCCCTTTAATGCTTTATTTAAAAAAATCCGCCCCCCCCCCATCCTAAAACAATAATGTCTGGCGATTATCCATGAAAATCTATTCATGAATCATGTCATCCCTGCCATGTAGGTCATGTATCTTGCCAAATGTTGCCCAACCACCCACGATGACGTGCTGCCCAATTTTACTGACCTGCCGTTTCTTATGTCCCAATGTCCAACATGACAAATCCCTGGCTGGCTTCTGTTCGTAAACAAATTAGCCAGGTATCATGTGTGATGTTATTGATGTCAGTCAGGATCCTCAGCTGATGTTTTTTTTTACAAACATCAGCCATGGGCTTTCAGGCAGGCAAACTGGCCAAACATGGCCAGTTTGTTCGCCCTATTTTGTTCGCCTATTTGCCAAACCATGAACCGGCTGGGTTTGGGTTGAACTCATGTTTTTACCTGAACCTGAAGCTCATCCCTAATCCTGATGTAGCCACCAGGAGTGGTGAAACTGGTTAAGTAGCTCTAGGTTTTCATCAGTCATTATCACATGGGATAAGTACTGGGAAAGTATCGGAATTTGCATTCTCTTCAGGTGCATTAACTATAACTGTGGCTGTGGCTTTTTATGCTAGCTGCAATTGGGAACATAGAAACTTAAAAGAGTGGCGGCAGAAAAAGACCAAATGTTCCATCGAATCTGATGTTTGTTTTTTGTATAGATCTGTATTTATTCTAAGCATGTTTGCATCTACTTACTGTTGACGAACTTTGAGTCATGTTCCTGTGTTCTTGATCCTGGCTTTATATTGAAAACATTGCTCTCATGAACCTTATTCACACCCTAATGTACTTAAATGTTTCAATCATGTCTTCCCTTTCCCTCAAGAATGTACATAATAAGTTCCTAAAGTATTTATTGAAAGGGAAAGAGACTTTTGTATTGCACTTTTTTCATCCAGTTTGTGCAGTTGATACGTTTAGATGCTCAGGGGCCCCTCTCCTCCAACCCTGGACCATCATGTGCTCATAGCTGTGTCCCTCAATGCACAAGAAAGAAAAGAGGATATTTGTAATCACAGTAAAGTCCTTTTCTTGGAATCTCTTGAATTTACACCCCTCTGTGTAAGAAGGGGCTATCCACCCTTTTTTATTGTTTGCCAGTGCCCAATCCTCCTGTAGCTGGCAGTAAAACCCATGCTCCAAAAAATAATTTTACAGTGAGTACAAAAATAATTTTATTGTGTTGTTGCGGGCCTATTACTGTAGATCACAGATGTACAGTGAAAATTTAAATTTAGGATTTTATTTTTGTTTTAATAAAGGTTATTCTTATTTTAAGACCACTCATGCAAAGAGAAGACCTGACAGCCCCCTACCACCAAAACAAATAATCTGTAATTAAATGAAAGTAGAACTTAAAGTAGAACTAAAGGCAATATTTCTTTTTTTTTTTTTTTTTCATTTTGGATAGAGTAAGGCTTATAACACCTGTCAGGCTTTTGTTTTGCCAGTGGGGAGATTTCCCTTTAACCTTTATTGTCCAATAACCAACACATGAAGTGAGCAGAAATCCCTTCAAAGTGAGGGAATTTCCAGTTGTCACCAAGTTCACCAGAACTAGTGTTCCCATTGAAAAAATTCCCATCTCTTACTGTTCTGGAGTGAACACAAAATTTGGGATATTTTTCTTTTTTTTGTTTCACATTCAGTGATAACAATAAACATGACAAATAGAGTGCGTCAGTCCCCCTAACAGGAACACAGACAGCATTAAAAAACCGATGTTCTAATCCCTCTCCACTCTAACCAAAACTAAAAAAATGTTTTGCCTTTAGTTATACAACTACTTACCTCAGTCCTGTCTTCTGGGAGCTGTGGGTGATATCGCTGCCCCTTACTGCTGCATCTTGGCCACTCCAAATCCTTTGAGAATACAAACATGTGTTACTGCACATTACAAGGTGCTCACATCCTTGCCACTTAAGACTTTATATAATATAGATAACATCAAACTTTTTTTCTTGTAGGTGATATCATTTTTCTTCATTGGATTAATGTCAATGATGATTCCGTTGTGCCATAACTTTGGTGGGTTGATTGCTGTCTGTCTGTTCATGGGCCTATTTGATGGCTGCTTTATATGCATTATGGCACCTATTGCATTTGAACTGGTTGGACCACAGAATGTTTCTCAGGCCATTGGATTTCTACTTGGATTTATGTCTATTCCAATGACTGTTGGCCCTCCTATTGCAGGTAAAGTAGAAGTTTAATATATTACATTTTATACCAACCAAACATTTATTTTTGATACTTTTTTAGAACATTTTACTGTGCCCTGCTCCAGGTAAACCAGACGCTTACTTTATCACATTAGACTTTTCTTATGTCTTTATACCATCAAACATTTATTTTAGATTGTATTCCATTAACCCCTTGGCGCCAGCACCTCCCGGCCCTTTAAGGATTTCAGAAGCCGGGATGCGGGGCGGGGCTTTAAGGTCATGTGACCGCCATGATTCGCTGTCACGGCGGTCACATGATCGGGAAAGGTCCTGATCGAAAGAGGAGATTGGGACCTTTCCGGAGTACCTTTGTGTGCTGGGAGCGCGGACAGGGTGCGCACTCTTAGCACATATGTTTTTCTTAATTGCACGCAAATGTGCGGCCGCTCGGCATCTAGGCCCTGACGCCGGGATGTGCGGCCGTCGTGAACAGGTTAAAGCAGGACTACACTGCATTTGAGCACTGTAAACCAAAAATGCTATTTAATACATTTTTAATTTTCAAAGCAAACTCCCCCATCCGTCCATGTCTGCATACTTTTTATTTTGCTAAAAAATTCACTTTGAAAAACATCCCCCCTGGTATTTCTGGCAGAGGCCATCTTGAGTATGGGCAGCTGAATCATGTAGCATTTACTTCCTGAAATCCATCTGTCTGTAGCTCAGGCATGCAGGCAGTAGGGTGTGCTTAGCTAAGAAAGCCTCTTCTCCTCTCCTGAAGACTCCTGGGATATATGACATCATTCTGGCCTAGGCTTGAAATTCAGGAAGTAATTGAAGAAATGTTAAAAAAGTTTAAAACAAGTACATATGATATATGTTCCTATCTAATTACTAATGCTGGCAGCATAAGGATCAAAAATAGTCAGTGTTGTTCAAGAGAGTGAAGTTCCACTTTAACTTTCCCTTGGTAAAGTGCCCCTGTTCAATGAGAGACTTTCTCTTTTTGCAACATATCTCTAGAGACTCTTTATGAAGAGTTGAAATACAAATTTTGATTTTTTTTGCTGCATTTTTCTAAAATGTATGAATGCTTGTAATTGTAATATTGATGCTGTCAATCCTGAATTTTTAGTACAGAGGTTTATGGCTTTGATATTTAGATACTGAAAACGTAATGTTGACATGGCGCAAAATTACAGTGACGGTTACTTTTTACAATTGCTATTCATTAATTGTAGAAAGTAATGGTATGGGGTCCTTTGGATTACTTCACTTATCCATTTGAGATGAAGTGGTTAAAAACAAGAAGCAGAAATCCTAAACTCAGACAGTACAAGACTCCTTTAGAATTGTGACCATTATGATATAACAATTGTCCGCCAAGACTTACAAAAAATATGTGAAGGTACCACTGTGCAGGAGGAGAGAACTCAGTGGAGGATGATATAGCCCCCATGAAAGATGAACTACAACATACCAGAGCTAAGGTGATCAATAACGAATACAGGCTGGAGGACATAGAGAACAAAGGAAGAATAATGTTCATATCCTAGGTCTACCAGAACGTATTGAGGGAAAACACCCAGCTGATTATATTGAAAAATGGCTAACTGAACCGTTTGGTAGAGAACTTTTTACTGCCATGTTTGCTGTGGAACGAGCTAATAGAATACCAGCATACCCATTACCTTCTGGGCATCTTCCATGCCTTTTTATCTTGAAACTATTCAGTTATAAGGACAGAGATATAATCCTCATGCTGACTCGTAAGAAGGGGAATATTGAATATCGTGCAGCAAAGATCTCCTTTTTCCGCCGATTTCTCAGGAAATAAAGAAACAGCATGCTAGTGCACACAGGTGTAAAAAAAAAAACAGCTCAGAACCCTCCAACTTTCATAAACAATGCTCTATCCAGCTAACCTCAGGGTTGTGGATCGCAAAATCACACTATTTTTTGTATGGTTTGTGGGTATTCGCTCCAGAAATAGAGTGTCTATACACTTCTGAATGAGTTACTTATAGCCTCAAAATGTCCTCTATAGATGGGTAACCTAGTTGGGCTATAATGGTTACTGCAGTTTTTGGTTTGAACTCACTTTCAGGCCATTTGGTTTCCCCCCCCAGCAGTGTTCCCAAGAGGAAAATTTTTTTTATAATTTGAGTTTTCTTTACCAGCTGTTGTCAGCAAAATTTTGCTGAGGTTTTTTTCTAAGTGCAGACAGGTCCAGTTATACCAGCTACTTTCATGACCTACCTTTTACCACCAGTAGTCATTTGCGGAATATAGACTGTAATATGAATGATTAGGACAATGTCAAAGCAGACAGTTGTGATCTCATGGAATATTAGGGGCCTGGGATATCCAAGAAAAAAACTGGTGGATTTCACTGCATTATTGTCTTTTTTTCAGCAGTATTTTGCCTGCAGGAGACACACATGTCCTGAGATATGGCCACTCTTTTTAATAGGACAACACTTGAATCAATATCACTCTACTTGCGCTACCTACACTAGAGGTGTAAGTGTTTTAGTGGCATCTTCTGTGATTTTCTCCTGCACGCAAGTTGAAATTGATGAACAGGGGCAATATGCTTTTCTACTTTGTAAATTAGGTGATAAGTGTTTTGTATTGGCAAATATTTATGTCTCCCCACCATATAAGGGAGAGGTCTTAAAATACCTATCTTGCTTCATGACCTGATTCCTTAATGTTCCCATACTTGCTGCAGGAGACCTTAACAATATTCTAAATCCACCCTTAGACAAATACCCAGTGCCCACTGGTAGTGCTGTACAAAGAGACTCAGGTTTTGCCAGTCATTTGGGAGGATTGGGACTGCTCTCTGAGACCATATCATTCCCTCTCTTGCCTTGATTTGGTATTGGGCATGGTCCGGTTCTTCCATGGAAGGTGTCTGCTTTCTAAGACCTGAGAGGCCTGTCAGACCACTTACCACTGTTATTCAAACAAACTACATTTAAACTTCTTATATCATGGAAGGTTAACCCGTGAAATGTTAACCCATTCTGGCTCAGTCTGATCATGGAAGATTCGAGTATGTTGTCTATTCTAGTGAATTTCTTAACTACCAATAGAGGTACAGCTTCCATACTGATCATATAGGATACCATGAAAATCCACAAACCAGTTAACACACTATAGGATTCCACTTCTACAAACAGCAGTTTGATAGTACAAGTAGTCTTCTCACGTGGGCCAGTTTCTGTGTAGCGAGGTTCCTACAGCTTGCCACAAGTGATCCGGGGAGATCCAGTGAACTCAAATGATAAAGAGAGAGCAGCGCAGGGATCCTCGTTCTTATGATAAGAACAATTTATCCAACAATAAAAATAGTACCCTTACTTCTAAGGTACTAGACAAACAGCATGGAAGTGGGTGAGAGCACCACAGAACTGTCAATGAGCATCGGCCAGCAAAAGGGAGCTTGCTTTTGACAGCTGTCTAAAAGCCGCCAGTACCCAGTGTCTCAGTCCGTTCCTCTCAGCTTTGTGGTAACTTTTACACATGTGAGAGAAGGGGGCCATTTACATGCCACTTGCTGGCAGTTATTGTCCATTCACAATAAGACTCCTCTGTGATTATGGCTGTTAAAAATGAGTTAGGTGAACCACCATATAAAACAGGATCTACCGTATATGGGACCTAGGTTAGTTATCCCCAGATAATTGCGAGGCAGTTTTTAGTTACTTTAGAAAGATTAGGATAGATGAAAGACGATCCCTGAACTTTCAGAAATTTTCTCTGGAACTGACTCATTGCTTGGAGTGTCTGGGTCTGGGCCCGGACATGTCACAGGGCAGAATATTTCATACAGTAGATTGACTCTCAGGTTAAAACTTTTCAATCCAGAAGCTGTCCGATTTTATCCTTCTGCATAAGACTTCTGGGGCTGATAGTAGCCTCCTTTAAGGCAATTTCACTCCAGATATTCCACTCAATATTCTGTCATTTTGAGATAAAATTTGGTCTGATCTCTGAATAGATCAAATTGGTTATTGCTAAAACCAAGTTCCCCCTGGCTTGGTAGCTCAGGAATCTGGCTCTGGAGTCAAGGAAGGTCTTTCTTTCCATTATTTTGAAGATTCTCATGACAGACATAAGCTTGTTGAGCAAGGGGGAGACCTTGGCACCTTGTCAGTGCAGGAAGCTTGGTTGTCAGGAATTTATTCTCTTGATAAAAATCTTGCAGCTTTAGGTGACTTCACTGTCCCTTCATCATCAGACTAACTGGTTGGGAACCATCTGATCTGGATCCAGTCAGACAACACCACAGTGTTGGCTTACAGCAATTATTAGAGAGAAAACAGAAGTTTTGCTGCGGCAAAGGAGGTAGAGTGGATCCTGTCCAGGACAGAACTTCATGTTCCAGCCTTGTCAGCCATGCACATTCCAGGTGTAGACTGTGCAGCCTACTGCACTGTTAACAGTCTGTGGATTAAACCGTCTTGACACTGTTCATTTCTGAGCCATAGAATTCTATGGAACTGTCATCTAAACATCACCAGCATCAGGAGTTGGTTTGGTTTAATAGATGTCTATGGGCACCAGCTGTCCAAGCACAGAAAATAGGAGGAAGATTTTGAATTCTGTCAACATTGTGACACACCTTGTATTTGAGATTAAAATATATGTAAAACAGTGAGCTTATCTTACTTGCTACCATTAGATACCATTAGATCTACCATTAAAAGCATTTGTTATAGCCATCTGATAAGTGCAAAAAAAAAAGTATATTTATGTGAGAAATTTGGAGCTATCCTGCGTACTTCCTGTGTTATCTCAAGGATAATAATAAGCCCCCTAATGCTGCATATGTATTTTTTATTTTGCATATGTGTTTGCATACAGTATATGTTTTTGGGTTTTTTTTTTTGCCCTGACATACTCTTTAGGGTAAGTATGCATATGGAGTGGGAGATAATGTGTTATTTAGGTCTGGGGGCTAGGTAGAAAGAATAAGGGCCTATCTACAATTTTTCATTTTTAAGAATAATTAATCTTTAAATAAGGTTGAACATATTGCACAGGAAGGATTGTTGTTTTTCTAAAATTGGATTAGCTTTGTGTTATAAATCAGTTTAATGCAAATTGTTCTTAGCATAGTTTATATTAATTTTAAGAAAATACTTGTTGCATCATAAATGTATGTTTGGTTTCTCTAGGTCTTCTGCGAGACAGTCTTGAATCTTACGATGTAGCGTTTTACTTGGCGGGTGTACCCCCTATAATTGGTGGAATTATTTTATGCCTTATTCCATGGGTGCATGAAAGGACTATACAGGGAAAAACTAAAGCTGTGGATGGAGAAAAAGAAGAGAGGAATATGGATTACGCTGCCAGCCCACTGAAACCTGGCACAGCTGAGAATGATAAAAAAGATGATGTCTCTGTAATTTAATTAGCATTTCTAATACAAATAACTGTTTTAATCTCTTTTTACCTTTTTTATGGTTTTTATGACAGTGACTGAATGTTGTAACTGGTGCTATAATGCCAAAGCTGTATGATCACGCTGAGCTGTTTTCTTGCACAACCCACTGAGCCTGACATGCCAAGATCCCTCTATGACAGCTCAGTGAAACTCCAAGCACATATGTGGTTGATGCCAGGACTAATGAGCTGGGAGCTGTGAATATCACAGAAAAGTATTATTTTTCATCAGGAAAATCCTGACTGCTCATTGCTTTACAGCATTGCAAGATTTGTTGTAATAACAACTGTATTCTTCAGTCTTGGTGACTCAACATGTTTGTTTTTGTTTACTAGATTTCAGTGCATGAAATTGTACCAGTTCTACAATGTGCAGAAGATTGGTGAAAATGTTTTAAAGAATAGCACATTTACAATATGACTTGTATTTTCAAACGCACCTCTGTTGTACCCAGACCGTTTTGTAAAAACATGATTGGAGACTCTTTCAAAGGCAGTTCCCCTCAATATTAAAACCTGGATTTGTAAGCAGACTCTATAGGCTGTGGTAGGGCAGCAGCTATTGTCCTGCACAAGAATGTTCACACTGATCAAGGTGCAGCAGCAGCACCTGTCCTTTCATTACCTATGGGTATTGGAATGGCTCCTTCCGCCTTGATGTACATACCACAGCCCTTTGCTAGTAGCATGTGCTTCTCGGACAACAGTCCAAGAGATCAGCATTCCAGCTGTCATCGCTTTAAATAGAGGTACTGCTACTACCTTCACAGGTTGGTATTTAATGTTATACTGTGGCGAAGATTCACTAAAACTTTTGTACACAGAATTTGGTGCAGCTGTGCATAGTAACCAATCAGCTTCTAGGTTTTATTTTCAAAGCTTAATTGAACAAGCTGAAGGTAGAAGCTGTTTGGCTACCATGCACAGCTGTATTAGGGCTCGTTCACACTTGGCTGTTTTACCAACGCTTGCCAAACGCCCCTATAGCGTTTGGCAAGCGTTGGTCCGGCGTTTGCGGAGCGTTTTTTAACGCTCAGCAAACGCTCCGCAAAACGCCGCATGCGCGGTTTAGTGGCGGTTGCTAGGCATTTGCCGAGCGTTAATAACGCCCCACAAACGCCTATAATACAGTTTGAGTGGTGTTACCGCCCCGCAACCGCACCGCAAACGCACCGCAAACGCCGGCCGGGCGTTTGCGGAGCGGCACCATAGACGAGAATAGGAGGCTTCAAAGCCTCCTGACTCGACCAGAGGCGTCTGTTTTGCCGCGACGCAACGCGACGCAAACGCTCCCGTTAGAACAGCACCATGTGCTGTAATGTGCAGAATTGGCAGAGGCGTTTGGGAAGCGGTAAAAACGCTTCCCAAACGCCTCTCTGCCGCCTGCACACAAGGCTAGTGTGAACGTAGCCTTAGATTCTGTGTGCACCAGTTTTAGTAGATCTGCCCCTCTATGTTAAAGGATAAGTTCACCTTTTAGACAAAAATAATAAATGCACATTTTTTTGCAGGTAAAAAAATGTGTTTATTATTTTTGTCCACAGGAGCCTGGAAGGCATTGCACTAGCAATCAGTATCTGCAGGTCTCCTGCACACCTGTCAGAATATCTGCTTGCCATACGGGATGTACGAGCAAGCAGATATTCTGAAAGGCAGCTTCAATTAACTACTGCGGCGCTCCACAGCGCTGTGGTAGTTCATTGAAAACTACAAGTCCACAGCCGCTAAGGCTGTCAGGACTTGCAGTTCATTAATTCACGGAAGTCCGTATATGAATGATGCGGCTGTGTAGGTGGAGCCCCACGCAGCCGCGCTGTTTTCAAATTTGAGAGATAGTACGGGCAGACTTCTCTCTGTACTGTCTGTCAGAGGGAGGGGGGGGGGGGGGGGGGGCGGCAGCTGCGGCTATGGGAACATATAACATGTTTCACCCTAAAAACGGGTGGAACATGTAACATGTTCCCAAAGGTGAACGTATCCTTTAAGCCAATGGAGAGTGATAGATTAGATTTGCATTGCTCATCTTAGAAGTGTGACATGTGCTACTCTCAACAACTTTTGATCAAAGCTTTCAATTTTTTCAGTAGAACATATTAGATATATCTAAAATGATTTGTGCTTTTTATGTTAATTCCCCAAAATGTTTACTATGCATCCTTCCTCAGCCATCAAAACTGTGAATAATTTAGTTTCTTTAGGGTACTAAGACATGCTTAATGTTGACTATTCACTGTTAAATTGTTCTTACTGTATTATAGGTTGAAGCACCCAGTTGCCTTATACTGCAGAGTTGCTAGCAGCAAACTGACATATATATTCGCACACAGCTCTATATTGGCTATAAAGAGAGAAGTGGAATATGTCAATTTGCTTCTACAGTAAATTTTTGAAAATGCAACTACACTGTCCTTTAATGCAACTGCTCCTTGTAAATATTCTGTCTACTGGAAAAATCACCCCCAAGAAAATTTGCAATAAGCCCAATGCTATTACAAAAGAACATGTCTTCTTTGTAACTTCATATCAAATTGAAAATATAATTCCAGACTGAAATTTCAGCAGAATGTGAAATCTGGTTTCTGGACTCCAGGAGGGAGATCAGTTGATTGGAGCTCCCATGATGCCCTCCAGGTCTAATTAGCAATATCAGTTATTTTGACCAGTTCACTAGTCAAAGTAGATTCATAATTTCTGCAGTGGGAATGTGGCACATCCAGCATATGTGTCTTGTTGCTGGTGTCCCAGATAATAGAGCCTGTAATGTTTAATCACTCATCAAACTGCTCTCTGTTGAGTGTTGGGTAATATTTTTGGAGCAGTGCAAATTAAAATGTTTGTTAATGCAATATTAATTTCCTTTTAACTGATAAAAGATGTAGCAAGAGCCATTTCGCCTTCTGTACATACAGCATATTTACCAAAGATTTTACAGCACTAAGATCATTCTTTATGATCACCTTAGCTTTAAATTGAATTCCTGCTTCTCATATTCATTGTGAATTTGTACAAAGCTGTTAACAATATGTATTTTAATTTGAAGGGCAAATGATAATTTACAAAATGTGAAACAGTACGTACAAGTTGGTTTGGCATATAACTTTTATACTGCAGCATCTTTATGTGAAGTGTTCCTTTTGTAATGTGGAAACAATTTTTTAGGCTAAATTGCGTTGTAAGGAATATAGCCTATTAGTTCCTTAAAAGTCAAAGTTAACAGTTATGTGACCAGATTGTATTGAAGTGAAATACATATTTTGGACATTGGTTACATAGCTACATACATAGTAAGCTTGCTTTGCATTGGAAGAAAAGTAGCCTTTCTTACTATGACTAGTTGTGCTTAAGAATTAGTATTCCCATGTTTCTTTTCAACAGTCTGCCTTCGACTATGCTGCTGTGATCATCAAACATAATTTGTGCCTTAAGCTCAAAATACACTTTACCATTCATCTGTTCTATCTTAGCACAAGCACCAAGAAGCATATATTACGTTATCCAAAGAATCTTGGGAGTTTTGCACTTTGCACTATCAATGTAGGCTGGAGGGAATGCTTTACTGTGGAATATCTGGCCTATATAGATCCAGGTTTTCAGTCTGGTAAGCAGGGAACTTTAAAATGCCAAAGACTTTTTGTGAATAACAATGTGACCACCTCATCATACAGACTTTATCTTTTTTAAGTTGCTTTAGAAGCAATATTTGATGTTGCAGATATTTATGTAAAATTCACCATGAGCCTAGGTTCACATCAGTGCGGGTTTGCAGCTCGTGTTTGCGCAGGAACGGCAGCCCATTCATTTGAATGGGCTGCCGTGTCTGTGTTTTCCACAAAAAAGGTGCTTGCACCTTTTTCAAAACCCAGCTGCAGTGAAATAGCTTTTGCAGCATGCGATTTTTTTCTGTGGTTCCCACACCCGCAAACTCATTGTGGGTTGAAATGTGTGGGGCTGCCATTAGGAATGAATGGCAGCCCCGTGCATCTCTACAGAGCAGTGCGATTTGGCTGCAGGTGGTTGCGGGTGCAGGAACTGCTCTGATTCCTGTACCCGCAACTACCTGCTCAAGTATGAACCTAGCCTGAAAGTTAAAGCTATTCTATACTAGCCAAAAATATAACATACATTTTTTAACAGTGTCGCACATTGCAATAATATTGTTAATTTAAAAAAAACCTACCTTTTTGTTGAAAAAAAATGGAAACAGGTCTCCCTCTGGTCGCCGGTCACATGATCTTTGCCATAAGCACGGAAAAGTTTGCAATCAAACAGACCCTCCAGTTTGGCAAGGGCCATAGTGCCAATGCTTTAGCATTTGTCACATGACCAGCTGACAAAGGGGCTCCAAATACTGGTTTCTCCAATAATGTTTTTCACAACTAAAGGCAGCCCTAGATGGATCAAAATCTGCTAGTTCAGCAGGAACCTGCTGAATTTTGATCCATATATAGGCAGACTGGTTGTACTTAAGTCGATCTATCGACTGACATCAGTAGAACCAGCCTGTTGGTTTTTTTTTATATGATTACTGCTGCTGGCTATTGTATTCTGATGGTGGTGAAACTTTCCACTGTCAGGATAAAATAGCACAGTAAGAGGGATTCCCTCATCAACACTGAATTTGTCAACCCATGGTTGAAGGAAAGAAAATTGCTTAATCTATGGGCAGTCTTAGTTGGCAATTCTTTAATAAAAAGGAACAGCACTGCTAAAATAGCTGTCCTGCATTTGCTGAGAAGAAAGGTCTGTTTTAGGATTTATTGTGTAAACTATTTCATATCTTCATTGTTATTGCAATACAATCCATTGCTGCATGTATCTTCATATTTTAGAAAAATAATGACTGATACTTGCCTTTATGTTTGTTTCTTGACTGAAAAAAGATCATTTAAGCTTGAATGGAAGTTAAAGATTGATATGTTGTGCCTTATTTTGCTAAAATTTACACATTTAAAAGCTTTTTTATTATAA